TCCACTCCTCCAATAAAGTATAAGTCTGTTTTTTTGCGCTTGGCCGGCCGCTGCAAAGAATGCCTTCCAGTTCCGCCCGTACAATCACATGCCATGCCTGGCTGGTATCAGCTACCAGTTTCGCTTTTTCAAGCGCTGCTATTATTTCTTCCCTTGTCCAGTGCAGGCCGCCTTTGAGCATTTTCTCAATGGCGCGGTTTGTCTTTTTATAAACATCATCAGTAAGGCCCAGCTCCCGGTCGCGCGAGCGCATGCTTGTTTTGATCTGGGGTGCAGAAAGTTCCAGCATCCAGCGAATATCTTCCGGCCGTACAAAATGCCAGGTGGGGCGCAATACATGAGTGCGTATGATTGCTCCCTGATGAATGGCCGCATCAACCTGTTGCTCGGTAAGGCCGGCTATACGTACGCCCACCGCCCATTTGGCCATAGCATAGTCCTGTGCCTGCATCGCGCCCATCCAGCCCACCAGGTCTTTGATCTTTGTAAAGCCGGTTGTTTCTATCTGTTGGCTCAGTAGCCGGAGATGAGTGATGTCTGTCTGTTTCATCGCCTGCTAAAGATAGGAAGCGCGGAGCGTCTATTAATACCGCCTGATGGTTTTTACGGCCAGGATGTCCGGTTATATAATCCAACTTGCTAGTTATACTAATTGATAATCAATAAGGTGCATCCTTCAGCGACCGGACCGGCCTTAGCGAATTTGGCGTTAAGAAAATGAACGTAGTGAAGCGTTAAAAATGCCCACTGTCTGAGCGTAGCGAGTTTGGGGCATTTTAGCGTAACGTAGTTATTTTCAGCCAAAGGCGCGTCAGCCTTGATCTTTTGGTTCTTTTCCATCAAGGGAAAAGAACTTAAAGAAAAATAGTATCGGGTGATGCATAACTAACAAGTTGGGTTAAATAGATCAGGCAGGATTTACGGCAGCGGGATCCATCCAGACCAATTCCCAGATATGCCCATCCAGGTCTTCATAGCTGCGCTGGTACATAAAGCCATGGTCTTGTGGCGCCCTTGATGAGGTACCGCCAGCGGCAATGGCTGCGTCTGTATGTTT